AAAAAAAAAAAAAAAAAAAAAAAACATCCGTGATTCATCTGCATTCTTGTTGCAGGCTGCCGAGAAATATAAACGCCAGGTGGCTCTGGAATTTGGAGTTCCACTGGTTCCTGCAAGGATACAGGACGCTGGGACCACCACAGGGACCCAGTCTTTTGTGGAGGGAGAGATTCGCGAGGGGGTTCCGACAACCGAAGGTGGTGTTAATCCTACGGTTCTGAGGAGGGCTGCCACAGCACTCTTGCGCCACGGGAAAAACATGCCTCTCGAGAGACTGAACGAACTGCAAGATGTATGTACTGTGTACCTGCTCCCCCTTTGCGTTTGATTGGCTTGGGGCTCGGCGGGACTTGCTGTCTAGACTTCTTATCAAATATGAGGTGATCGTAACACTGTATATAACGTGCGTGTTTTTAACTTTTTGGTAATCTAGGGGCTCGTGTCTTTCAGAAGTTTTGATAACCATCGCTATTTTTTTGCAGTCATTGGAACTTGGAACGTAGAAATTGGGACGGACTGGTACACATGGTTCCCTAAATAGTAAATAGTAAATTTGAAAAATGCCCCCGGCCGACTTTGCACTGCGAAAACCTGAGCATAGTTTGGTTATTGTTTTCTAATCTATGTGAAAATTTGAAATTTCAAATTTGTGAATGATAGTTTAAGAGTATACAATACTATACATAATTTGCATGCAGACTGGTTTGGAAACTGGTTCCATCCCCTCCCCTCCCCCAACCCCCCCCTCTCTCTCTCTTTTGGATATGTGGGGTGTCATTCCTGTGCAGGGGCTATGCTATTGTCTTCACCTGAATAGAACGCCCGGTCATTACAGCTGTATTTGGTGCGCACTTTCAGACCAGATACGGCAATAATGAACGGGCGTTCTATAACGACGGTAGTCTTCTTTCTCTGTATACTACTGTCGTTCCAATTCTAACCGATGTCTAGAAGGACCGGCTGGTTCGGAATTTGTGATGAGCGTTTGCCTGGTTTTCAAGGTTTAGAGGGGTAGAGGATTGGCATGAGCCCACTGCTTTTAGACTGATGGGCAGTTAATCCCCTCGTCGGAGGGCAATCAAGGCTGTTCATCAATCTCAGATGTAAAATCAGCTCCATTCTGTGTTTGTTTTCTAAAAGAGACGCTGCACCCCGTCTATTTTAAAATCAGCTCCCCACCAATAGGTTGGAGTCATTGGACCCATCTATATGGCGAAAAAAAAAAAAAAAAAAAAAAAAGGTACTGCTAACTACTGAATACAGTGAATAGTAAATTGTACTCTATAATAGTCTATATTAAATATCCAACACGCTCCCCACTGTACTCTGCACCGCAAAACCCCGAAGGTAGTTCTGTTTCCGTGTTCCCCACTGTACTCTGCCACGCATAATTAGTGCATGTTTGCAGGCAGGCCGTGGGATACCCCTATTTTCTTACCAAATATTCACTACCGTCTTCTCCTGAACATAACACATGCGTTGTGAACGAATACAACGCGTAGGTTGCTTTCTATTCGAATGCAACACGTGTGCGTTCTATTCGAAAAGCCACAATTTTCGAATACAACACATGTGCGTTCTATTCGAATAGACTTAATTTCGAATACAACGCATGTGCGTTCTATTTGAATTTTTTTTTTTAACTCGAAAGCAACACATATGCGTTATGTTCCTGATAATCTTGTCTTCTCAGACTTCCCCGCAATAGCTAGTCCACAGATAATTATTAATTACGAATTTGTGTGACCTCGGAAAGGCATGCTTTGTTTGGGTCTTAATTTAAAATCACCAGTACACGACGCCAGGCAACTTCAAAAAGTTTAATGGGTCACTCCTAAAACTTTTGGAGGCTCGGGGCTGCCGGGCCACAATGGCTGGCGGTGCCAGGCACAAAAGGAAAAAATTGTGCCGCTGGCAGTTAGGCAAAGCTTGGCACGTTGTGCGAGGGCGACAGGCGTGGGTGTACTGGTGGTGATTTAAGATTTTGAGGTCCAACCTTTTTAGGCATTGGCCTCAGGAGCTGAGATTCAGATTTCGAATGTTGGAATTGAGTTAAAACTTTTTGAAGTTCTGAAAGCAAAGAGAGAAGGAGAAGCAGACAATGATGATGACAATAGTACTTAGTCACTCTTAGGGCCAATTTTCCTCCTTTTTTTGTCATGCTAATCTTTTCTCTGTATGGTTCCAATTTTTAATTTTAAGTTTTTAACCATGGTTGCGGTGCATCATGTGCGCGGCAGTTGCGCACATGCGGCGCACTGCGCATTGCACACGTTTTGCACACGTTGTGCGCGCATGTGGTGCGCCACAACGGCTAAAATAGGGGTCCCCCTAAAAAAAAAAACCTGGGTGGGGGGGGTGGGAATTGAACATCCCAAGCCCTGCGGAAAATGATAGATTGGCCAGGATTTTTTTTTGGCGGGCTGCGCTCCACCCGCAAGGCAATCTCTGTGCGTTGGCTGAACTTGGTTCTTTCCATTTCGCGAATTCGAAAACGACAAGAACTCGGTGCTTTTGCAAAAAGAAAAAGAGAACCAGAAACTTACCTTTTATACCCGAGCAGAATCTGTCAGAAAGTGACAGAAGCTTTTTTTTTTTC